AGATTTTAATCCATGCTTTCATCACAACTCGTCTGGATTATTGCAATTCACTTTATGTGGGTCTGAGCCAGTCATTACTGACTCAACTTCAGCTGGTTCAGAATGCTGCTGCTCGTCTTTTAACTGGCACCAGAAAACGAGAGCACATCACCCCTGTCTTAAAATCGCTACACTGGCTCCCAGTTCGTTTCCGGATTAATTTTAAGATTCTTTTGTTTGTATTCAAATGTCTTCCTGGTCTCGCTCCACAGTATCTGTCCGACCTTCTCCAGCCGTACAATCCCTCACGCTCTCTTAGGTCAGCTGATCAGCTGCTGTTGGCTGTCCCAAAGTCCAACAGGAGACTGAGAGGTTACCAAGCGTTCTCAGTCACTGCCCCTAAACTGTGGAACGAGCTGCCTCTGCACGTCAGACAAGCTGATTCACTTCCTGTTTTTAAATCTGCTCTGAAGACTCATTTTTTCTCTTTGGCTTTTAACGCAGCTTGAAATGTTGGCTTTACTGTTTTATGTTATTTGTTTTATTGTTGTTACTGTTTGCTGCTTTATGATTTGGTAGTTCATTACTTTTATGGGATTTGTTGAGTTCGTAGTTTTTATGCTTGTATGTGTTAGTGTACAGCACTTTGGCCAACGGTGTTGTTTTAAAGTGCTTTATAAATAAAGTTGTATTGTATTGTACAAACCACAGGTCAAAACTCATTTAGCCGAGCTGTGCCTTACGAGAGGAACAGAGAGACGTAGCATGACATAAATGAAGCAGCAGCTTATATCGCTAAAGACACTGTCCCAGTCTCCACTGTGGAACTAACTAATTTTACCGTTTTGTTAGCCGCTAAGGACCGTGTCTTTAACGATATGATAAGTCACTTCTTTATTAAAGTCGCGCTACCTCTCACTGTAAGACTTGAAAATCTGTGTAGTTCTTTTTCAGCCCGTCTGCGCCGCCACCTTCACGCGGCCTCTCCTCCAGTGTTGGCAGACTGGATGGTTTATTGCCAATTGGGCGGCTTTCATTCTGATTTTGCTGGGAACTCTGGGAAGATTTTTGTTGGATTGTTGCGTTTTGCCACATATTGTTAAATTACCTTGGCTTGTACTGATGTGCGTTCATGTTTAAACAGTAAATAAACTGTAACAATATATTGATTGGGTGGATTTTTGTGTGATGTGCTGGTTTTTAACAGGTTTGTGGGCTGGAAAATCTCGACTATCTGGCAACATTGCCCTCCTCCTTCACTGAATACAAACAGCCCCTCACGTGCTGCTTCACACACGCTTACTAACGTCGTGAAGGCGGTGTGGCTGAAGAAGATTATTATTTAATATATGTAAATAGTTTTTTTTTTTTTTTACATTTATTTTGTACAGTTAGAACTGTTTGTTAATAAATGTGCCTGTGTGACCATTGGGACAAAACTTTGACTCAGAAATATATTTTTGTTATTATTTAATGCAAAGAAAAAATATTGAGATATATATTGTATATCGCCATCTATCTTAAAAATATTGAAATATTAATTTTGGTCCATATCACCCAGCCCCTACATAAAACCCACTTATTTGTCTAAATTTCATGTGAAAATTTGGTGCGAAATGACCTCATTTTTTCTTTTGTAAGCTTTTACTCCTCTGAACTAATGATCAACAGTCTGTTATCTGTTAGCTTGTCCTATACAATCTCATCTCGGAGAAGAAAACAGCCGGGAAAATTAGCATTTCCTGACAGCCATTACTCATCGGGCTAATCCTGTCAAGGAATGTTTGGCTATCAATGCAGGCGAGGGGTCGCCTTGACTTATCCCTGCATATTGGTTCTTATCAGGCAGGGTAAACACACTGGGGGTTTGCATTAAATAAGTGTTACAGTCAGTGGGAGTGGAGCGGGCAGTGTCCCCCCCACCCCTGCCAGTCTCCATGCTGATAATCCTTTTGAAAACCTGCACTGGTCAGACCCAGCTGTGGCCTGTGGCTCAGGTGTAGGTCAGCGGGGGAGGTGAGGGATTGTTCTGCCGGTGGTGTCGTTTTCAACACAAGTCACTCAGGGTTTTGTCCACATTGATGCATATATAATTAAAAAGGTTACTTGGTTACTTTTTCTTTCTAATCAAGTAATTTTCAAAAGCTTTTACACATATTGCAACATCAAAACAATGCATATTTATTTACCATTGTTTTAGGGGAATGGCATACTGCTATGGTAATAGTTGTTTTTCAGTCTCCAGTAGAAACAATGTGTTACATTTGTGCTGATAAGTTCATCTGCAGCAAACATAACACATAATCAATCACAGAAAGGTTCAGTTTTTTTTGTTTGTTTTTCTTTTTAGAAAAAGATTAACAGTAAATATTTTCCAACAATGTAGATTTTTAGTTTATGTGTATTGTAGCCAATCACCTGATCTGGCCTTTAGTAACTCCAAAAAAGGTGATTGAAACTAGCTTGGCCTGTCACAATAACAAATTTTGCTGGGTGGTTAATTGTCTCAGAAATTATTGCAATTTTTTTTAACGATAATATTGTTTGAAATTTGACAATAATTACTAATTATTGTCAAATTTCAAACAATATTATAGTCAATTGCAAATTTAAGAAAAAATGTTGGTTAATTTGTTTTGCGTGTAGTACATTTTATCGACCATTAGATGGCAGTATAAGACTGTTTGAACCAAAGGATGGATAGTGAGGGAGCGAGCAGCGTGCCTCTTTAAAAATAAATGGGAGGGAGGCCCCTTGACGTGACATAGGCTGTCTCTCCTTTCTTTATTCGGTTCTCAAAATGGCGGACGCTTGGTGTGGTTTGAGCTCGCATAGTATTTTCACAAAGTTTTTAAGAAAAACATCAGTAAACAAGTTCTCAGCTTCTTTTTGCAGAGAAAAACAACTTTTTACACGAAAGCACTTGTTTCAATTGTGAATTTTGGAGCTTCGACAAGACGGAGGTCCCCCCCCTCGAGGTCGGCCTGTTAGCTTAGCTTAGCTGCTTTTAACGATCCAAAAACACGATTTTGGACGGTTAAAACTGATTTTAAAGAAAAAAGTGAAGGGGAGGGGTCAGTGAAAAACACCGCCTTTTGTCTCCGTTGTCTTCAGTAAATAGACGGAAAAAACGATAAAGCCGATAAATGAAAATGATGTCGATAATTTTCATTTATCATGCGATTAATTGATTTATTGTTTATTGCGACAGGTATAATTGAAACTTAGTTTAATCCTGTTTTAAAAAAAATATATATAAAAAATTGATTTTATCTTAAAGATAGTTTCAGAACCCTTAAAGTGGCATTCTTTGGAAATGTAACCCCTCAGCTTGAATAAACAGAGTTCAATTCTGACCAGACTGACGCGCCAAGACCAGAGTGAAGCTTTCTTTAAACTTTGAACAGCAAAACAAACACAATATAAGATTTAATTAAATTGGTATAGATTTTTTGAGACAGTGATATAAAGATGACTTCAATCCATTTTGGTCTGTGGTCATGGGCTGCCAATTTTCTCATCCTCAACTCATTCAATTGGAGTTAAATCCTTTTTTTAAATTATTTTTTAATGAGGTTGTTCAAAATAACACACGTCAGAATTTGCAGATTTGACTACTCAGAGCTGCTCTTGCTTGTATTTTGTCAAGGATGTTACAATTAGTAAGTCATGTTCGATTTAGTCATAACTCCTTTTTTTTGTATTTTATATAATAAATGTCATGGAAAAAAGAAAAGGTCATCTTAAGTCAGGTGGATACACGAAGCGATTTCAGCCATTAAACACAAAAAAAAAGCCCTCAAGCTGTGTAAATCTGTTGGTGATAAGTTAGTGAATCATTTGAACGTCTTTTGGTATCGCTGACATGTTCATACTCAAGTTTTGAAACCTGAAATGTATTTTGAGTCTCGTGATGACTTTTGGCTGTATATTTTTTAACACAGCTGCTTGTGTGCATGACCAGCTCAACAATGTTGTTTGGAATGCTGCAGAGGAAAGACAATAGCATTTTTTTTATTTTTTTTTTTCCAACGAGGCAACTAAACTTCCTGCACTTTAACTCCAGCTGCAAGCGAACCGTGAGAAAAGTGCCCGTTACCGTGACTCTGCCACTCTGCTACTTTTGATTTCTCTGTACCGCTTGTGTAACCGAGGCACCTGAATGGGCGGCTCTCGAGGAAAACGTGCAACAGTGTTAACTCTAGGTGTACAACAAGGTGGGGAAACCTTGAATAATGTGCAGCCAGGGAAGGAGGCAAGTCAAGCAGTGGGTCAACAGGGGGTGAGGCTGCCTTCTTCTCTGGGTTCAGGAAAAGTTCAGCAGCATAGCATTAGGCAAATTAGGGAGACAGGCAAGGAAGAGGAGAAAAAAAAATCTGTGGGGTATAAGGGCTGATGAGAACATTGAGAGGGGGGCTCTATTTATCTGAGAGCTGAGGAGGAACTTCCAGGGGTGAGGGGAGAAAAAGGGAGCCGGAGAGAAGCATTCAGTGGCAGCTCTCATTATGTCCATGAACTCCAGTGTAAAGATATGAAAGACTAATTAGTGCGCTTATATAACTCCATCATGTCCTCAAATACTATTTAAAGCCCCTGCTGCTCAGTTTTGAAGGAGGGCCTGTGTGGAGAGCAGGCGATCCGCCCCTGAAAGGGTTAACGAGCAGGAGCGACGTCTGACTGAGGGGGGTGGGAGGCAGGAGCAGGGGGAGGAGCAGGGAGGAGGAGCCAGAGCTGCTCAGCTGCTGCGCCTCGTCACATTCTGCAGGATCTGCTCGCTCTGCTGTGGGAACGATCCGAGGCTGCAGGTCCAGACCAGGCGGTGCTGCGCGCTTCGGACGCACCTGGACGCGCGTGAGAGCTCGGTAAAGTAGATCTGAGAGAGACACAGGGGGGGTTCAGGAGTACTCCGGACGCTAACTGGACTGTAACCCCTAGAAGGACGAACTGCAACTCTGCGACCCCCATCTGCAGCGCCGGGACTTTGTCCCCCTCCTCTGTGGGATTTCTCTTCCGTCGTGTGGATGAATCCTCAGATGCTGCTCTGTGTTTGAGCAGCTGCACACACACATATCTATATATATATATATATATATACACACATATATATTTATATATTTATGCGTGTGTGCGTTTTGCGCTGGAAGTGCGCGCGGCTCCAGCCCCGGGACACGATGCGCACCGCTCCTTTTTCCCCCCAGACTGATCGGATCGGATCCGGCTGACTTCACCCACCGCTCGGGTTGTGTCCTCCAGCCAAGAGACATGCCGAGAGCTCACGTGCACCCGCTGGCTTTGGCTGCATCCCTCGTCCCTGCGTGTTGACGCCGCTCCGCCACATCCTGCTGAAAGCCGCACAAGGCTCCTTCGCGTGTTTTCATAGCGTTTTGTTGTTGTTTTTTTTTTCCTCCCCCCTCCTCCTCCTCCTCCCCCCGCTGCGTATGATGTACGAGAGTGTGGACGTTGTGGGACTGAATCCCAGCCCGAACCCGTTTCTAATGATGGATTATTACAACCAGAGCAGAGGATGTTTGATCCCAGAGAAAGGACTGGTGCCCGGAGCGCCCCATCCCTACAGCACGTCCATCAGGAACCAGCACTGGAACGGATCCAATCACTGTAGGTGTCTCCTTAGGTCCCCATGTCCATGAATTCAAGTGTTCAGAAATATAAGCGACTTTTAATTCAGCTTGATTCTTCCCTGACGTAAAGCAGACCCACTTCCCTCCATGTCCAAATGCCTTGGGGTTTTTGTATCCTAAAATATGCTCCTAATGCAAACATTGTTTTGCAAGCCACGCCAGCCCTAATCAGGTCAAACTTTTCTGCCAGTCTTATCCTTAGTGTCCCTGGTAATCTGGGTCTGTTGCAGACCGTCCCTGAGCAGCAGCAATGGTTTTCAGTCCAACCAGTGATTTATGTTTATTAAAATAATGCACAGGTTTCGTGTTCAAGGTGCACATTTAAATGATGTGCTCGGTGTTGTGTCAGCTCCAGGAGTGAGGAAGCCCTTCTGTCATTCCTATAAATAGCATTTCAGTTGTTTTTATGCAGTTTTTCTTACATGTGCAGTTTTGTTCATGGGTCCATGGTGATTTTTTTTTTTTT